ACTTAGCACAGACCACGCCCTCATCCCCAGGCAGCCCACAATTATACAATTGTACTTCCTAGCAAACACCCCATGGCCTTGTGGTTCCACGAAGCCGGTCTTCTCCCTTCAAAGCTCATCATCCCGTGTTCCTTCTCCGGGGGGGGGCCTTCTGACTTAATAGTAGAAAAGGGATGAGTTGATGCCAAAGGGTGTGTGCCAGGCTGTCTCCTCCTTCCTGCATCTTGAGGGCTCGAATCCTGACTCTGGGTCTCACGTGCTGCGTGACTATGAGCATTACTCAGCCTTTCTAGGTTACCCTTGTCTGACCTAACCCACAAAGACACTAGCTGCCTTCCAGGGCTCAGGACTATACTTGTCCACGTTCAGGAAGCTTCCAGCATAAAGCAGTTCCTCGAGAAACGTAAGCCCGCTCCCCCACCCCCAGCCCCATCAGGCACATACTCTTTCAAAATCTCTGAGTCCTTTCTTCTCGCTACTGTGCGGGTGCCTAAAATAGCTTTAAGGTTATCCCCTCCAGGGGAATTTTAGCAGGGATCTATTTTAAAAAAGTAGAGTGCTAAAGGCGGCATTTCTGACAACAGCGAGGATGAGAAAATATTTCGTGTGTGATGGGCGCATGGCGGAAAGAGGGCTGGAGGAGGAGAGGTGGGAGGCGGCGAACCTTTCGAGGGGTGCCCCGACCTCCGTGGCAGGTGAGAAAAGCCGAGAAAAGACCCAGTGTTGCAGGAGATCTCCGTCTGGGAGTGGTTGGGTTTCATTTTCCAGAGCAGCAAAAGGCTGAGGACCAGGGACTGTGGCAAAGGAGAACCGCGAGTCATAAGGCGGGAGAAGTCAGGCGGGGAAACTCACATGACCGTGAGGAGTGTTTTAACAGATTCTCTGGAGCGATCCATGAGCCCGTGAACTTGCCCTTTGCCATTCCTGTGCTCATTCACCCAAGGTGGGCTGTGCTGACCTCTCGGCCCCGGAGAACCGTCTTTTCTCTTCTTAAGGAGAAAAGATGAACCATCGGAGTCCAGTTTCAGATTCATGGAACACTAAGGGCAGGAGGGACTGTCTCAGCTCTCACCCCGGACCCGTGCACCATTGCACAGATGGTCAACAGAAGCTTGGAGAAGAGAAGGTTGGTGGCCAGGGGCTCTCTCTATTGCCACCATGACTAACAACATAAGTTCCCTAAACCCACATAAACATATTACCTTACAGTTCCATAGAAGTACAACGAGGCTCTCACTTTGGGCTAAAATTAAGGCGCAGGCAGGGCTGTGTTCCCTTCTGGAGGCTCTAGCGGGAGGATCTGTTTCCTGACCTTTTCCAGCATCTGGAAGCTTCCTGCATTCCTTGCCTTGTCGCCCCTCCCTCCACCTTCGAGGCTAGCCACCATGTGCTTATCTGATTTTCCTTCTGTCACATCTCTTTCTGACTATAGCCAGGAAACCTCCAATTTTAAGCATCTATGTGATTAGACTGAGCCTCGTGGATAATCCAGGAGAATCAGTCCCTCTCAAAGCCCATGCCCTTAATGCCATCCGCAAAGTCCGTTTTGCTGTGTAACATATACACACAGACGCCAGGATTTAGGGTTGGACATCTTTGGGGAGCATTATTCTGCCTACACACCCCCCCCAAAGTAGTCTCTCTAAACGTGCAATTCATTTATTTGCAGAAAAGAACTTTTTCGTTGTCATAGGAAATATGGCTAAACCAAATTTTTATCAGGGATTTTAAATCTTTTATTTATTTATTTATTTATTAAAGATTTTATTTATTTATTTGACAGACAAAGATCACAAGTAGGCAGAGAGACCCACCAAGAGAGAGGAAGGGAAGCAGGCTCCTCACCGAGCAGAGAGCTCAATGCGGGGCTGCATCCCAGGACCCTGAGATCATGACCCGAGTCGAAGGCAGAGGTTTTAACCCACTGAGCCACCCAGGCGCCCCTGAATATTTTGTTTTTAATTCTACTTTATATTCTGAATGTTTATATACAGAAAAGTAGATAAGTCACAAACTTACAGCTTGATTTTTGTACACTCACCAGGTATCCACATGCAGATCAAGAAACAGAATACGCTCTATGGGCCAGGCTCATGCAAATGTGCACTAAACATTTGCTGACATTAAAAAGTTCCCTATGGGGGCGCCTGGGTGGCTCAGTTGTTTACGAGTCTGACTCTTGATTTCGGCTCCGGTCACAATCTCGGGGTCCTGGGACAGAGCCCCAAGTCTCTGTGCTTAGTGGAGAGTCTGTTCTAGGATGCTCTCTCTCTCCCTGTCCCTCTGCCCCTCTCCCTGCACCCTTTTTCTCTCTAAAATAAGTAGATAAATCTTTTTTAAAAGTTCCCTATGTGGACAATTACCAGGAGTATTATTGAAGCAAAAAGCAGAGAACCAAAGTGATATCCATTTTTTCGTTCGACAAACATTTTTCTGCCACCTGTGCCATTCTAGACCCAGGGAGAATAGCAGGAGTTGACCCCGTGCTGGTCTTGTGGCACGGAGTCCAGGGAGGCGGCTGTGTGTGTGTGTGTGTGTGTGTGTGTGTGTGTGTGTGTGTAGTTTATGAAGCAGAAGAGAACACAAGTGCATTGGCCAAGCCTAACCAGAACGGCTTCCCAGCAACAGCAGGCCTCCAAGGCGAGCCTACTGGGGAAGAGAGGATTTCAGGCACAGGGAACAGCATGAACAAAGGGGAGGCTAGGCAGGGGTTTTCGAGGAGTTTGGGGAGACAGACAAGGATATGGCCATTGGGTTTGCCCGCCTGTGAGCCCCCAGCACGTCTCATTCCTGTTCCTGCAACCCAAAGCCCCATTGTCCAGACTCAGAGCTGGAGGCCACAGCCCTCAGTCCGGTGACCTCATTGTACAGCTGGGGACACAAGCCTAAAGGCACCACACCAGCAGGGAGGCCTGGATCAGGGTCCAGACCACCCATTTCCTCCTCTAGGCTTTTCGCCGGCCCCACGGTCCCAGGGCTCCTTACTGCCTTGTCCAAGAGGCTTTCTTGCTTCTTATCAGGCCTGTCACCCATTCTTTGTCCACTCATCCCACGCTCCTTTACAAGGGGTCCACCATGTGCCCAGCAACGTGTTAGGCATCAGGAACACAGCCGTGAGCTGCGAGGAATTGGGTGATACACGGCCTGCTAGGCGTGTGGTGTGATGTCAGAGGACGTGAGGGCCATGCTGGGCGGGGAAATAAAGCAGGAAAGAGAGGGAGGACAGGGGGGTTCAGGTAGATGGTCGGAAAAGGCCATTTGAGGAGAGGACACTGGGACCTGAGGGAAATCAGGGAACGTTTACAAGAACGGGGGAGAAGAGCACAACTGACCCTTGAGCCTGGCGGGGCTGGAGGGATGCCATCCCCGACACAGCCGAAACCCCCCATGTAACTTTTGACGCCCCCAAACCTTAACTACCCATAGTCTTCCCTTGACTAGTAGTCTCACTGGTAACACAGTTGATAAGTACATATTTTGTGTTGGTTTGCGTGTGTACTGTACATGTTTGCGTATCTATCATGTACTGTCTTCTTACAATAACGTAAGCTTGGGGCGCCTGGGTGACTCGGTTAGGTGTCTGCCTTCAGCTCCGGTCACAATCCCAGAGTCCTGGGGCTCCCTGCTGAGCTGGGAGTCGTCTGTCCCTCTCCCTCTGCCCCTCCCGCTGCTCATGCTCTGTCTAATAAATAAAATCTTAAAAAAGAGAAAATCATAAGGAAAATACATTTACAGTACTATACTGTATTTCTTGAAAAAAAATCTGCCTCTAAGACCCTCGCAGTTCACATCAGGGATACTGGAGGGTGAGGACCTGCTCCTGTGGATCAGAGTTGAGACCCCCCTCCCCAGCGTGGACTGTCCATTTCCAGCTGCTCCAGAAGTGAGCTGGCAGGCGTGGGTCCTGCGAAGGCCTCTGGCGGCTTCTTGCCAGGGTCTTCCTCATCAGCAGAGGCCGGCACACGATGGATACCTGGCTGGACCTTGGCCTTCAGCAGGATCACACGCCCAGCTGACCTCGTACGTCCCTACTCCTCCATGCCCTTCTACCTAGTCAGCAACAGGCTCAGAGCCCTTCTCAGCGCCCTGCCTGGCACCTGGCGAAGGACTGCGTACGGGACACGGGGCTTTGCATCAGACTCCTTCTGACTTTATGGAGACGGGTGAGCTCTCCCTGGGTTCTGCCGAGGATGTTCCTCCGCAACTGGACCGGGAGGAGAGTGGCAGCGTGGGGAGCAGGTGACAAACTATTCTCGCAGGGGACAGGCGCGGGTGAGGGGAGCGCAGAGAGGGCGGGCAAACCGCAGCACAATGTTTGGGGGCGGGGGCTGGTCTCGGGGACCACCGAGCGGGTAGCGCCTGGAGGAGGTGGGCGCAGGGACCAAGGCCAGGGAAGATCAGGAGGCACCGCGTGGGAGGTCGAGGCGGGCTCCCCACGGCCGTTGGAGGAAGAGCGTGGCTGGTGTCGAGGAAGGCGGGGCCAGAGCGGCCAGGTTTGGTGGGGGTGGGGAAGAGACCCCGCCCGCCGGGCTCTGGGCCTCAGAGGCCGGGCCCGGGGCGGGGCCTCGTCGGTCGGGAGCGGGCAGGAGGCGAT